AAAGAAAAAGATTAATGTTTAAAGAAAATAAAAGGACCTTTTAATGTAAAATTTGTTTATGACTTTTATCAGTCAGTAATACTTTAAAATTTACGATAAAACTATAAACAATTTTTAAATGTTTCGTAAATACATTTAAATGTTTAAATGTATTGATTTAAATGTTTGAATGTTTTGATACGCAAGAAAACACGAAAACGATTGCTATTTATTTGTAAAATATGTTTGTTTGTTTTTTTGAAATGAAAGAAAATTTTATTGTCAAACAATTGAGTTGCTAATTTTCCAATCATTAATTGACATTGTGAATGAGTATTAATATATAAAAATGTTCCGAAGGAACTGTTTTCGTAACAATGACAACAGAAGCAATGCAACTATTTTTTTAACTTTTTTCGTAATTACAAAATTATGCAATTGAATAATTTCAACGTAATAAAAGGCGAGCATTGACTCAGTATAATCAGTTTAGAATAAGTCGAGAAAGAACTTTTTTAACATTAAAATTTTGTTATGTTAAAAATCTCAAATAATATATTTAATAATCAAAACAGCAATTTATTTTCTTGTCTAAGTATTGGGGAATAAAGTCATCGCCTTTGCATAAACCTTCGTAAAAACTAAATTAAATGAAAAAGTTTAACTAAATTTGTCTAGCGTAAATAATGAATCAGTTTTTTAATACATTGTCTGATAAAGTGTTGTTACAGTTTGATAAATGCGGTTACGTTTTCTGAAAAATTTATTCTATGCGTGGACAAACATGGCGTGCGACCGCACACCTTTCCTGGGAAAGCCTGATATATCCAATTATCCTAAAGTCATAGCACAATCCAAGTCATTAAACTTTTTTTTTGCATGTTTAGTTTCTCTCTCTTCTTCTCCTTTACGTTTAATATTACGTTCCACTGTACTATCTCTATTTTAACATTGAAAAGATTCTTAGTTATTTTGACATATTTTAAAAAATTTAAAAATAATAATAACTAAGTATTTAATAATAAGTTAATAAAAACATCATATTATTGGTGTTGTTAAATGCACAATAAAAAAATTAAAATTTTAACAAATATAATAACTTTATATATTCTATTAGATTATGTATTTTTTAGCAAAACTTGAATATTATTTTTAAAACTTTTATAAGTTTTAAAATGTAAACTAACATTACTTCAATTTTAGGAAAATAAGAAAAAAACAAAAAACACGCTATTAAAAAAAGCAATCGTTTAAGCATGGTTTTTTTTAACGTAACTGCAAATGTAGTCATTTTAAATAAAATTTTGAATGCATTTTTAAACGCATGCAAAAACCATGCTCAAACTAATTACTTTCTTCGTTCCATTGAAGAAAGTAGCTTTAGCGTGGTTTCTTTTAAAGAAAATGGGTTAAAAGCTTTCGTAATTAATTGTTTTTTGTGTTTTTTTTTAATAAACAAAAAACAATCAATAGTTGTTTGGAAAAAAAAATTGCTATAGTAACGCGTTCATTTTAAAAAACTTTAGGCGAACGTCAACGTTTGCATTAGGAAAAGTAAAAGAACGTGACGTTCGTTTTTCTGTCTTTTTTTGTGCAGACATTTGCACATTCGTCGATTTTTTGCGCCCTGAATATGATGATAAATTAAATATATATATATATATATATACATATATGTATATATATATATATATATATATATATATATATATATATATATATATATATATATATATATATATATATATATATATACGATAAAAAACGAATACACAAAATTACATTTTTACATAAAGAATACAATCTCTTTTAAAATAAAAAATAAGAATATACTAATAAAATCTATGATTTATAATAAACTTTTAAAATTTTAACAATTTAATTAATATATATTTAAAACATTTATTTTCGCAAACAAATAATATATATTCTTAAAACAATGCTAGAAATCTCAAAACGTAACAAATAGTGAATAATACTATTTCTAAAACATTTTAACAGAATACTCTAGAACTTTATTTCGCTTAATCAGCGTATCTTTTGAACCCAATAGAATTAGTTTGTTCGTTAATTTGGTGGGTTTTTAGTGTTCACAAATATTTTTTTTATTCTTTCGCAAAAAGATGTTTTGAGAACATTCAAGTTTTTTATGTTTCCATGTATGTCCGTTAAACAAAAATTTTTTGTTTCGTACATAAACTTAAATGTTCTCAAAACGACTAAAAAACCTGGCCAGTTTTACGCAACTAAATATAATTTCCGTGGTCAGTTTTCGAGAGCGATCGCTCCCGCTTCCCGACCAAGCCTGATTGACGCAACTAAATGTATATGCATCGACTGACAAATAGGAATTGGTGCGATTAAATGTACATACATCGACTGACAAATAGGAATTGGCATAAATAAATGTACATATATCTACTGACAAATAGGAATTGGCGCAATTAAATGTACATGATTTGGGTCAGGGTTTGGTTGGGGCAGGAAATCAATTAAAAATGTGTTTTAAATTGAAGCTTTGATAGAAACCAGGGTTTTTTAAAGTTGTTATTGAAATAGAATTTTATCATAACCGAGTATGACAAAGATGGTGGAATATTAGCATTTTTAATGTGGATTTTTATACTTTAACATCAAATTAGAGTACTTTCCTCGAGTTTTCAGACCTATGTTTTTATATGATTTAGAATCAGTATAATGTACTCTATAAAAATCAATCATAAAAACAGGGGACAGAGGGGAGAAAGTCGAGTAGCGCTGCGTGTTTTCTATTGACACTTTTAAGCAAATTTTAATTTATTTTAAGCAAAATGCATGAGTCTCTGATTGATTTCTGACCTAACCATAACCCTGACTTTGTTTACGCCAATCTTTATTTGTCAGTCTATGTATATAGATTTAATTGCTTCGATCCCTGTTTGTCAGTTATTGTATGTACATTTAATTGCACTAACTCCTTCTAAGGAAAAACAGTGTTAAAGAACAGTTATTATCTTTTTCCGGATATTTCCGGAATTCCAGATATTTTTTTCAACTTGAAGTTTTTCCGTATATTTAAAACATTTTCTATAAATACAAGTTTAGGTTTATATTTTTGTAAAATATTTGTTTTATAAGTTTTTTTACTTATCACTCATACAAAAATTATAAAAAAAAAAATTGAAACAACTCAGCTAAAAGCAAAATTAAAAGGAAAATAAAGGAAAACATATTCCTGATTTTTTTCTGCATATTTTATATAAACAATTCCAGATTTTCAAAATAGAAAGATATTTGCATTATTTTTAAAATCATTATTAGCAATAAATATTAGCATTCTTTTTATCGTAATGTACCTTTTAATGCAATTTTCATGATTTAAACAAAGACTTACACAAATAATTGCGTTTTCAATGAAGTTATAATCGTTAAAGTTAATAAAACTAATTATGTAACAATCATATAAGAAGTTTCTTGTTACTAAACACAAACAACGCATACAAAAAAACTCGCGGATGAACAAGCATCACGCTTGAGGTCACGACAGAACACAAATATATATAGCAAATAATTAGATATAAAGAAAAGTTTCAAGATATTGGTTTACTAACTCTAATTATTTTCGCTTAAGTTGCCATTCTTAAAACTCGTTATACTTTTTTCTGCTTTAAATACTAATTAAAATTAAAAAGCCCACTCACTAAACATCAGCGATATTGTGAAGCAGTTTTGCTTCCTGGTCATTCATTTTTAACCTTTTTAGTTGATTTTTATCTTGATAATTTAATTCCTATAGTAATTCAATGATTTAATTATTTCATTTGTTTATCTTACTAAGAAGAATCGCTTCAAATATGTTAAACTTTTCAAACTACGCGAAACATAAAATAGGTATTAAAAAATTAACTTTTTTATTTATAAAATAATTTAGCTTAAGTAAAACTAAAACTTGCAAACTTAGTTAAATAAAGAATATTTGTTTCCTTTTTAAACAATCAAACGTTGTTACTTTATATAAAAAACATTGCTTAATTTTATAAAAAAAATTGTAAAAGAGCGATATTTGTTCTAAATGTAATTTATTTAGCTTTAACTTTTTTCGCGTTTAAAGATATTTTATTTGCCTATTCTTTTTTTTTTTTTTTTTGTAATTGTCTCTCATCGGTCCAACAAATCTTTGTCGCTTTTTTTTTTTGCCTTTTTAAAATGTTCTTAAAACGGCTAAAAAATCTGGCAATCTTTTCGCAAGTAAATATTATTTACGTGGTCAGCAATCGAGAGCGATCGCTCCCGCTTCCTGACTAAGCCTGGTCAATTCCTATTTGTCAGTTGATGTATGTACATCATTAAATATAAAAACAAAAATAAAAACCAGGTCGTTAGTTGAAAAATTAATTACCTAAATTTTAAAAACAGTGTTAAAATGTTTTTAAAAAGAAATATTAGCTTTTTTTAATGTGGATTTTTATACTTTAACATCAAATTAGAGTACTTTCATAAAGTTTTCAGACCTATGCTTTTATATGATTTAGAATCAGTATAGTGTACTCTATAAAAATCAATCATAAAAACAGGGGGGGGGGGGGAGAAAGTCGAGTAGCGCCAAACAGGCTTTTAAAATCATAAACAAGTAATTAAAATGATGAATATATTTCATATATATAGCGTTTTTAGTGTAATTTTGTTTAAGTTCTCCAACATATTTTTAAAATGATTCTTTATCAGTATAGTAAATTCTATCATAATCAGGGCTGCTATAAGAGGACAAGAGGGACAGCTTGTTCCAGGCAGCAGATATCTAAGGGGCACCAAATGAAAAAAAGGTATCTAAAAAAAAGTTCTTTATCTATATTATAGGAATATTTAGATAATCAGGGTTGCCAATCAGGCTGATCATATTTAATCATAAAAGAGGGGGAGGGGGGGGGAAGAAAGTCATATAGAATATTTTTTATCTCTGCATTTGATTAAAATCATAAATCTATTATGTTTGTAAACAAATTAATGAGAGAAAATGATTTTATTTGAGGAAATCTACTTACGTATTCATTTGAGCACCAGTTTTCTTACAAGTATCACATACCCATAAACCAGGTGAATTTTCATAAACTAAAGCAGCATTAACTGGCATCAAATCATGAACATGAATAACGAATTTTTTTCCTTGGAAACATTCTTTACATAAGTCAAATTGATCATCAAAACAATGGTATGCTAATGCGTCTCCTATTGTTTCACCTTTGTTTTGTTCACATGCGTCACATTTAAAATGGCCTTGAAATTGGGGATAAACTATTGTCATTTTAGCAAGATATAGATCATGATTATGTCTTAGATGACGTTTTGGCTGTACACATGTATTACATAAATCATATCCACAATCTTTACAGTGGTATGGTATTTCTTGACTGCCGTATTGGGTACTGCAATTGTCACACTGCCATTCACCGTTATATTCAATATAAATAGTCTTTGGATCTATAGCTTCAATCTGATGTTGTTGATGCAAAGGGTGTCTCATCGTTTCTTGTAACTATGTAAATAATAACATAGCCAGACATGCAAAAGACGCGTTTCGTAAGAATGAGATTATCTAAACGACCGCCATTTAATTTATCTGATGACAATTTTTATTTACGCTTTTTTGATGCGCGTACGCATTATATTTCACGCATGTGCAATAGGGCGGAATAAAAACTTTCTTTGATTTCTATAATAATTATAGAAAAACTAAAAAAATGAGACAAAGATGAAGAAAATTAGAAATGAATTACCCCTAGCTCCAATTTTTGAACAATATTACTTATTATTGAAACCGCAATTTCTTCTTCAAAAAAAAAATATATATTTTTTTTGAAGAGACTTTGAAGTTTTAATATACTAGGTATGTTTGTATTATCCTTTAGTATTATGATTAAAATACTCCCTTTTGCATTAAAAAGGTTATTGTAATACTTTTAACTTAGTAAAAAGATATTTTTTGAAATAAAAAAGTGATTATTTAATATATAATAAAATCCACGTTCTACTTCTTTCCCCTAACCATATTTTTAAAGGTTAGTATTCAATTAATAAATAAAAGTATTAATTATAATATCTATAATACTTGTTATCATTTATTCAGTAATAATAATTATCACCATTTATATATTTTGAGTTTTGTTTTAAATTTCAGTAAATAAAAAGTTAAGATCTAAAACAGATCATCCATTCTTTGGGTATTCAAAGCCACTCTCTGATGTGCAACTGCCAATAGGACTAGATGTCATGCGGCATATGGTGTATTTAAAAGAAAAATTAAGCAAGCTATATTACATATCGTTTGTCAAATAATATTACAACTATATGTAAACAAATATACACACACACACACACATATATATATATATATATATATATATATATATATATATATATATATATATATATATATATATATATATATATATTATATATATATATATATATATATATATATATATATATATATATATATATATATATATATATATATATATATATATATATATATATATTAGGTACGTGTGTGAAAATTTCAAATTGTTTAAGTATTAGATTGTTATATATCGTTGGAAAGAATTTTAAAAAAATATTTCAAAACTGAAAATTTTATCAAAATCGGATGATTCTACAAAAAGTTATGAGCATTATAGTGACGAAACTTGATTACAAGGATTCCTTAACAAAAATGTGACCAATTTATAATGGTTTTGTAACTTAAACCGCTTAACATCGTCAAATCTTATCTAAATGCATATAACTTGGTATCAAAAGATAGGTGTAACATTGGGCTACAAGCCTCTTTTGCTTTTGACACCTGTGCGCATTCAGGGGGCTTGAGGAAGGACATAAGAAACATCTTTGCCATTAAAAATTTCACTTATTTTATTTATCTTAACCGCCCTTGGAGCGTAGTTTGTTAACCTATATAACAATGTTTGCTGCTATACAATCCCTGCCAAATAGTTTCCCTTTAAATGTTTCAATGCTTTAAGTGAAGACTTATGCAAGCAGAGGTCATTGTATCCAATGGGTGAAGATGGCAGTTTAGTAACTATTTAACAATTTCTGCCACTAAGTAATTAACTTAGTGATAGTTGCATGGTTCGCTGCCACTCGTTCACTCATCATATTACTTATATTAGCAATAATTTTACTTCGTATTTCAATATATTGTTGCTCGTAAAAATTACTATACAACTTAGCAAGGTGATCTACAGACTGTGTAATATGATTCTGATAATCATTAGCTGTATCCAAGCAAGTTAGTCAATAGCCACAACCATGCATCGTGTTTTGGTTGTAAAGTGCACACCGTTTATATGGCCACCCTCTTGTGTAGTAGCATCAAAGCTCGAGGTCATATTTTTTTGTTGCAATAGCTATTTCAGCAGTCTGCAGATCTGAACTCCAAGCTCACGCATCATCTGCTCCACAGTTGTACGATGTGGAGTTTCAGTTGTTGAACATTTATTTTAAAAGTATACAAGTAAAACATGTCCTTTAAGACATACCTGATATGAAAAAGGTAGTTTAAGATATTCTGATTTCAAATGATTCAACGTTAAACATTTCTTCGACATTTTAAAAACTCTAGGTACAAGTATAAAAATTTAATTATATTATTTCGAGCACTAAGCTGTAAATAAATAAATTATATTTATTTAATATAGAGAATAAAATAAATATAGCAAATAATTCACAAAATTTTTTTGTAACATGTTTAATAATATTAACGCTGCATGTTTAACATGTTACCCTTCTTGACATGTTTAACATGTTACCCTTCTTGAAGGAGAGTTTTTGTAGACGTTCATAACTTATAGAATAACAAAGCAAATATAATATACAACTATTTATAATTCTATACAGTACATAATAATAAATGTAATTTATTTAATAAACAATTAAAATTAAATTAATTTTAATAGAATATAATTACTATTGCAATAGTCTAGCAAAAAAATTTTTTTAGATTAATTATTAAATGAGTAAATAATGATGCAAATATTCGATAAAAATAATTTAATACTTTGAAAGAATAATCAAAAATACAACTAAAAGTATAACTAAAAAATTATATATCTTCAAAAGATTCAAAAAGGATTCTTTTTAAGAATCCACAAATGCTACAAGGTTGTTTACAAAAAAACAACAACAAGTTAATAAATATTCATTTTGCACCAATCGGAGTTTCAAAAACTATCATGTGACTACAAGAAATGAAAAAATGCGAACGCAGCGTAACAAGGCAAGAAATCTAGCATTTCATAGAAATACCTAGGGTGCTTGGGGAAACCCAAAACAAATGTGCGCTACACCTGATTAATATAAAAATTGTACCAATATTAGACAAATAAATGATCTACAATACCTTAAAGTTTTATAAAGTACCTGCCATAATTTACAGAGCTGTGATTCATAGAAAAAATGTGCCAACATATGATGAAAAAATATATATGCTTTTTTTTTGTAAAGTAGTGTAAAAATGTATCAAAATTTAGACAAACCTTTTTCCTAACTACGTGCAAAATTTCAAAAAAATTGGTTAATAATTAGCAGTACAGTGTCGTTTGCCCTAATACGTGTCTTGGCCAAATTACAAAAATCGGGTCAAAGATTTTAGCTTGCGTTTTTACGGCAAATTACGAATTTACGCACGTACCTATATATATATATATATATATATATATATATATATATATATATATATATATATATAATATATATATATATATATATATATATATATATATATATATATATATATATATATATATATATATATATATATATATATAAATATATATATATATATATACATATATATATATATATATATATATATATATATATATATATATATATATATATATATATATATATATATATATGTATATATATATATTTATATATATATATATATATATATATATATATATATATATATATATATATATATATATATATATATATATATATATATATATTGTTGTTTTATTGTACCAAATTAAGATACAAAAGTCTCTTGTTCGTTTGAGAGTGATCAATATAATGTAAGTGTTTACAAAATAGATCAATAATAATAATAATAATAGAGTTTGATTATTTGAAAAAATACAACTTTGTGATGGTACTTGAAGTTTCATGCCCTTCGGCAATCATCAGCCATATTTTATTCTTTTAAAACAAGAAAAAACCGTTAAAAAATACAAAATACAAAAATTAACAGAAAAAACAATAACAAAGCAATAGAATGAGTTCTGACGTCAAAACAAATTTTTAATTAGGAAATTGTTTAATCGGCCGTGTCGAAATGGGCGAGAAGAAACTTGTTTCGATGCCTGCACTTGGATATCATTTCACTTTTTTTGTTAATTAGATTATTATTTTTGGAAAACAGAATTTGATATTTTTCATTTATACACAGTTTGCAAGACTTCATGGTTGGGTTGTAAGCATTGCACTGCTTAATTATTTTCCATTTAATAACTGGATTTAAATTTGCATCTTTCAGTTTCCAAAATTCTTTTGATAATTTAGTGTCATTTTTGTATTTTAGAATGTTAAAAGATTTTATATGGTTGGCATATCTAATTTTGAATGGTGTTTCGCTTATACCGATGTATAGTTTGTTGACAGGAGTGGTAGTAGGATTAGTTGAACTTATTTTAGCTTGGTATACAATGTTTTTTGTTAAGCATTGGTTCGATAGAGGGCAGGTGCTTTTATTAAGGCAGTTGCAATTGGTTTTAGGTGGATCTTTTTCGTTGCTCATAATTTGTCGATTGTGTGCATTTAGGATAGATTTCATGTTCGGCATACAGCTATAACTTACTTTTATGGTGTTTCTGTTGAAGATTTTGTGGAACTTGTGATTTATTGGGAAGTGTTTGTTGACTAAAGTTAAGAAGCTTTTTCCTATGTTAGTGCTTACATTTTTGCTGAAAGGTGGGTTAAACCAAATGATGTTGCGTTTACGGTTTTTTGTATAAGGTGAATTTAAATTAGGGTGGTATGAAAGTTTATGATTAAAACCGGACTTTAACAGTGCGTCATTGTATGCAGGAGTAGATCTTTGGAAAATTTCTTCACTTGAGGAATTTGCAGACAATCTTAACTCAATTGAATGCGGAAGCTGTTTTAAAATATTTGGCGGGTGGTTTGAATCAGTATGAATATAATTTAAAGAATTTTCGGGCTTAGAATATGGTTGGAAAGTATGGTCATTTAGATTTAATGTGACGTCGAGGTAATTTACAATTTTCATGTTGCATTGTATTGATATATTGAGTTCGTTTTTTTTAAATATTTCAACAAGGTGTTTTTTAATTTTTTCCATTTGCGGGCCACTCATATTTTTAAAAACTGCTAAGCCGTCATCGCGGTATAGTCCGAAATCATTTTTATTATAAACCTGTGCAACTTGAGACAATAGATAAATTCCCACAAGTTCACAAACTTCAGCACCGTCAAATGCTCCCATTGAAACATCGAATAAACGTCCTGATTTTTTAATCCAAACTTGATCATCATTATATAATAATGACTTCCTTGCGTGATAGATCAATGATTTATGGTTAGGTTCAATATTTAGATGTTGTTCAGCGAA